CTGACATGTGCGCGGCGTGCCAGAGTACGGACGGGCAGCTTGGGCAGCCAGCTCATCCTTACCCGGGCAGCTATTAGGGCAGGTATCTCACCCCTATATAAAGGGGGTGAGTCTTTTTCCCTAAAACACATTCTATTCATCAACTCAATTCCAGTATACTCATACACATACTGACTTAAGCATCGGAGGCTCTTCACCGGACCCAACCCCCAGTGTGGGACTTATTTGCAGGTTTTCGGCGTTCTACCGGCGAGGACAAGAACCGATCTACTCCAAACCGGACCCGGACGCTTACACTTGCATTAAGCTGTATGTCCTTTGACGGTGCCTAATGATAGGCAGTCTTCCTAAGTCCTAATGATAGGCCATACCGTTGAGAGTTGTATGTCCTTCGGTATGCACTTCCATTATTGAGAGTTGTATGTCCTTCAATGGCTAATGATAGAGTGCATATGAGTGATATTATTGGTGAATTGACTGGAGATGTGATATGTTGAATTTATTTATGATCATGTTGTGACCATACCCTTTGTTATATTATGTTATTATTTACGTGCATAGTGGTGAGCACTACTGTTTTCTCTTGTGCTCATGCCCACCTGCTCTTCATGGATGCAGGTTAGTATATGCGGGCACGAAGGAGGGAGGCGAGTGGTGGTCATATTGATGATTTTCCTTTCGCTATATAATTGCTTACATTTAAGCATTTCTGATTTACGTTGAGTATCGAATTATTGATAGGGAGTGTGCTCCCTAGTATTTATGAATTTGAGAAATCCTGTTTGGGAGTTGATGTTATTGACGAACCCGGTTTGGGTGTTGGCATGATTATTGAACCCCTTGAGGAGTTGTATTTATGATATTATTGAAAATTGTTTTGGAAATGAGTAGCGCCTCAAATATTGTTATGAAATAAATTTTAAAAAATTTATTTTGATTTTCGGTAAATAAAAGTGGGGCATTACACAAGTGGGCGAGATGCTTGAGTTTGGGCTCATCCAACATAGCTCAAGCCCCTTCTCATCACCACTACTGCTGGCTAAGAAGAAGGACGACACGTGGAGGTTCTGCACCGACTATCGAACGCTGAATGCCGCAACCATCAAGGATGCAACCATCAAGGATCGTTTTCCCATACCGAGTGTCGACGACCTGCTCGATGAGCTGGGAGGGTCTCGCTACTTCTCTAAACTCTATCTTAGGTTCGAGTACTATCAGATTCGACTCCACAAGGCCAATATTCCAACAGCGGCCTTTCGTACGCACCAGGGGCACTACGAGTATTCGGTGATTCCGTTTGGGCAATGCAACGCCCCGTCCACTTTTCAACTTGCCATGAACTCCATCTTCAAGAATCATCTGTGCAAGTTTGTTCTTTTTTTCTTTGATGATATCTTGGTCTACTCGAAGACATGGGCCGAGCACATCCAGCTCTACGTGTGGTGCTCGAAATCTTGGAGGCCAATTCATTCCACATCAAGCCATCCAAGTGCTCCTTTGGACAGGAGATAGTGAGTACGTAGGCCACTTTATCTCTCATGATGGCGTGAAGGTCGACCAAGGAAGATAGAGGCTATGGTCGACTTGTAGCACCCCGCCTACTTATTCTAGAAATAACAAAATCAGAGTAAAATTTTTGCTTTTTATTTTCGAAAAACTCTTTAACTTTATTTTCGAAAATACTCATACTAACTCGCGGGATGCTACTTACTTAAACTCTTTCTCATGCAAACGTAAAAATAAACACATGCAACCTAATCGATCCGTTATATAGAGGTAACACGGAGATAAAGGAATTAGACATGCATAAGTCTGAAGTCTCATGTGATAACATGCTAGTTTTGAAAATGCGGACGCTAAAATATATTGAGTGCACGCATAATAATAATAATAATAATAATAATAATAATAATAATAATAATAATAATAATAATAATACATGTTCAATAAATGACATGTGAATGCATTACAAAAAATACTGCTAATGACCACATGTCACTGCTGCTCACGCATCACGCGTCGCTCCGTCACCTGAAAAACATAATGGTGCGTGAGCAAAACCACTATGCTCCGCAAAGACCAGTACTTAATTATTAACTCTGGATTTAGAGGACTTGAGCTATTTTTGGAAAGATTTGTTGACTTTAAGGCATTTTAGAGTTCTCTGAAATATTTCTAAGTCTGGTCTGCTTAATTGATTTATTTGATCTAGCTTATCTGACTGAACTGATTTTATCTGAACTAGCTTTGTAATGCCCCGTTTATTTGTAAAATATTTGATATTTTTATATACTATTTATATTATTATTACTCGTTATTATTTAATGCCTAATTGCTAATTTTGTTATTATTATTATTCCTATTATTTTTCCAAGTTTTATAAATTGCTTATTATTATCAAATAAATATTTTGTGATATATATATATATAATAAGTCGTATGATGTATTTATTATTTCGTCGTACGTCAAATTGTCTGTAAACTTTTGATTTAATCGCGTTGTAATCCTTTCGGTGCAATAAGAATAATTTCTTAGCCTTTATATAATTTTAATTTCAGCCCATCATGGTTAATTCATGTCTAGGCCTATGCTATTGTATTCCAGGCCAATTGAGCTATTTATTCCCTTGGCCCTTAAGTGTAAAATATGGCCCAATATTATGGCATTCTTGGCCAAGAAGTATTTATCATCGGCCTTTTCCTTCTCCTACGCGTGGTGTGACCGAGTCGCGAGTTCAACTTCTTGATCTGATTTGGTCGCGAGATTCTCTCGCATGTTCATCCTCAGAGCACCTGCATAAGACCTGGCCAGAGGAGGTAAGTTCCTCCACCAGAAATCTCTCCTCTCTATCTGTCTCAACACCCTGCTTTCGTAATAAAAAATAATAATAAAAAAAATAAAAAAATAAATCGTTCCTGCCATTCTTTCCGGTGAGGGCTATGTTCGTCGGCGTCCTTTCTGTTCGCCGTCGTCGAGGCATACGCAGTAGCAGAACGTCTCTCGTCCCGCATCAGACTCTTTAACCCCAATCGAGAATAGTCGGAAAATCCCCATCCTCTATTGTTTCCGACGAAAGCTCCGTTCGCGTGTCACCGGCGTTCACCATTCTTTCTGAAGAGATCTTTAGTTTGTCGTTGATGTCCTCACAGTACAGCATCTGTGCCGTCGGGAAACAGGAACCCCGAGTCAACCGTGTTCAGCCCCTAAGTTCGAAGTTCTTAGTTTTGTCCGTTCGTTTTACAACTGAGCTTCCCGAAAGAAATGTAATCAACGAACTTCATCGATATCTTCATACTCGTGGTTTCTCGTTAAATTATATTCGTACTCGTTGAATCGATTTCCGTTGATTGCATTGGTTGTAATATCTAATAGTTTATGTTCGTTATTTATTTTCATAAGTTCGTGGATTATGAATGGAACACTCGATTTCGTTAAAGTGAATATCGTTATGTTGTTGTGGTAAAATCCTTTAAGTTCAGAGTTTAGTTTTATCATTTTCGAGCCGTGTTATTTCCATTTTGTGTCCCGAGCAAACATGTTTTCCCAATATTTTCAAACTCTGAAATTTGTTTTATTTTGAAAATATCTTCGTAATGTTTGAGACTATGAAGATATTAGGCTTGTTCGAATTTTTTGAAACTGTAGAACCTTAGTCCAATTCAGATTGATGTTGTAGCAAAATCTGGAGCTGCCAGATGAAGCCTCTATGCAGGCCGTAATATCAAATGTTTTCAGCTATGTTCTGTAATTCCATCCTCTGTTCTTTTATTTCAAATTCGCAGGCTTTGTTTAAATATTAGAATCAAAGTTTTCATTAAATGTTGTAACCAAGCGTTTGGCGCAGTGGTCTTATGTGCGCTCTTCAGTGCGTGAAGTCACGGGTTTGAACCTTGCCTCTGCGTAGTTGATATTTTTAATTGTCCCCTAGCTCAGCAGCACGAGACGATTGGCCCGCACTCAACCGTGTCTCCTCTCAGTGTGGCCCACGTGTAAGCCCAGCGAAGGCCCGCGAGTCCGCATTTCCACCAGCCTTCGTGACAGGCCAGATCCATGGGCCATATGCGTGTGTGCGGCCCAAACTCCGCATGCTCTAGGCCCAAGTGTCGCGGCATATTTTCCAACGCGGCCCAGAACTACCTCTTAGTCCATTTTGAATTCCGGAAACCCATTTTTTTCGAATCGATTGGAATTTTAAAAATATTTATAAAATGAGAAAAATTTGGGAAAAAATATTTTAAGTCTCGATACCGCTATTTAGTTCTCCGAATCCTTTTTTTTTATTAAATGAGAAAGTTCCAAGTCCACCAAAAACCTGATTTAAAACCCTTAAACCTTAATTTCGATTAAAGGAGGGTTTTAGGTTAAATTCAAGTAATGAGATAGATTATTGATGTATTGTCTCACTTAATTTTAGGTGTTTCAGGAGTCGAGCCCTCATCCTACGTACTTGCTTTAGTGTGCAATATTCTACCCCGATTTCCAGTTGCTTATTCAAACGTTGTCTATGTCATGAATGATATATGTTTATTTATGCGGGTATGATCAATGTATGCATGGGAACATGTAACCTTCGACGTGAGCTGTACCGGCCATCGAACTGTTATCCCTATAGTTATAGAACGTACCCAGCGAGGGTAGTCTTTTCTTACCTGTCTAAAGCACTCGATGCTGACAACGATGTATTACCTGTCTAAAGCACTCGGTGCTGACAGCGATGTATTACCTGTCTAAAGCACTAGGTGCTGATAGTTGAGCCTCCTACTATTTGGGCATCGTTGTAAGGCCTGAGCGAAGGCATTCGATACGTGTATCAGCAGTTGTCTATTGATATAGGTGTGCACATGAGATATTTATGACTTTGGATAGGAGATGGGATATTTAATGATTTGTTCATACTGCGACCATGCAATTTAATTTTCTTGTATATTATTATTGTTAATGTGCGTAGTAGTGAGCACTACAGTTCATCATGCTCACTTTCACCTGCTCTTCATGGATGCAGGTTAAGCAGGTGTTGGGTGACGAGAGAAAAGACGAGTGGTGTTGGTATTTGGCTGACCTAATTTAGTTTATTCTGCATGCGAGACTATTTATGTTTATTTATGCATTTATGACTTAGGGGATATTTATACTTTGGAATGAGAGATGTTCCCTTATGAAAAGTAGTGATTTATGAACTTGGAATTTATGAAAATGTTAGATTTATGAAAGGATGATTTACGTGATGACGATTTATGAATTTATGTTGAGTAGCGCCACCAATTTATGAAAAGAATTTTGAAAAATTTTAAGTTGACTTTTTGAAAAGTCCTTGATTTTCGTAAAATAAAAGTGGGGTGTTACAGTTTGGTATCAAAGCCAGTCTGCGTTTCTGTAGACTGCTCAACGTGATTTATGTGCATTTATGAGTATATGAGTATAAGCATTGACCACTTGTCTTCATCACGCCGCAACGCTTAAGGTATGTAAGTAATAAGTAATGTTGAGATTATTTATGAAATGATTGTTTATTTAAATTATGTGTTATGTCATGGGGCTTAGGAAAAATCTATCCACCTTCGATTTGCTTGAACTCTAGTGTTTGTGGGTGAACTCTAGAATTGTATAGCCATGCTAAACGTTTTGGCCCATTTTTTAATGTAGAATTTTGGCTCGCCAATCCCGCAGCGGCCAGCAGTATCAGCAGCAACCACCTCCCCCACCACCTCCTCCTCATCAGCATGCTCCGGGTAGAGATCCCATTACCCAAGCTTTGATCGATTTCCATAACATGTATCCTGTGACGTTCACTGGAGTTGGGGGCCCCGAAGCTGTGGCTGAATGGTTTCAGCATCTAGAGAGTATCTTCGATCTGCTATTCACCACTGATGAGGTGAAAATCTGTTGTGCTTCGTTCATGATGACCGAAGATGTTAGGACTTGGTTGACCGACTATTGGAGGCTTCATCTTCGTGCTGAGAGAGATGCCTTGACTTGGGACTAGATGGTTGCTATAGTCAAGGACAAGTACTACCCAGAGGCTTACCATGCCCAGATGATGAAGGACTTCTGGGAGCTTAAACAGGGACCTCGTCCTGTGGATGTCTAGGAGCGCGAATTCACTCGTATCTGCATGTTTGCCCTGATGCTTGTAGATACCGATCAGAAGAAGACCTTTCGTTTCCGTCATGGTCTTTGCCCTGACCTTTGCTATACCCTGACTGTCCACGTAGTTCTGCCCTACTCCGAGATTGTCCGTCGAGCCACCGAGTTAGAGGTTTTCATTAATGCTCAGAGGGCAGCCGTTCCATCCCTTCGGCCAACCCCTGCGATCCAGCCAGCCAATGTTGTAAAGCCAACCTCTAGTTTGGGTAAGAGGAAGGCAGATTTATGCCAAGATCAGAAGAAGAAAAAGCATGGAGCCCCTGATCGTCGTGATATCCCACCGGCCGTGCATTTGAGGTGTGCTAATTGCGGCCGAACCCATGCTGGACAATGCTGGTTTCCTCATAAGGTATGTTTCAACTGCCAGCGTTCAGGACATTTTCTCAGTGTGTGCCCCTCGCCCCGGAGGCAGTCGTATCAGAAGCAGCCACCCCAACAACAGCAACAACAGCTTCCACCGCCGCCTCAGCAGCAGTAGAGCTAACCGTGGACTCGTGTAGTCGTAGCTACCTCATTTTATCTTCATAGTTTTGTTTTTCTTAGAATCTTTACAGACCCTCGTTTATTTGTTTCCTCCGCATGTCAGACAGCTTTGAATTGTGTTTGAAACTCCTTTATTCTGCTCAATTTCAGTACTTTGGAATTTTGTTTGTCTTTTCTTCTTTTGCATGGGATGAAATTTTGGATGGAGATATACATTTTAATTCTTTGATGATCCTTATTTGTCTTGTAAATTTAAGGATACATGCTTCATGATTCCTCTATTACGATATGTAGTAGGGGAATCGAGAGGTATGGTTCCACCTTAAAGGTTTATTGAGAATCTTTTAAGGGGGTAGTCGTGCCTGGTGCAGGCACATCGCGAAGTGTAGAGCCATCTTCGCTTTTGATATTTGTTCATCAAAATCATTGGAAGCTCATTTAAGACTGTCGGTACTGGTAGCTACTTGACCAAGAGCTGACATGACGACCGACACTGTTAGTCGAAAGAGTCGAGTGAGCTAAGCGTTTCATTACTCTGTAGTGACCGCTGTGATCGAGATTATTATTGATTGAGGAACCGATCCTCGTTCTTTTTGGGAAGATCTACCGACCTCTATCATTGTTTGTTCGATGGAAACTGTGTTGATCACGGAAGGTGGTGAACTTGGAACTCGGTTTATGCCTTATTAAAAATTTAAAACCCTTGAAAGTGTCGAAGTTGTTCTATACCTACATGATGGGGGAAATTGTTTTTGATTTAACACCAAATTTTTGTTCGGAATTTTGTGGAAAAGACTTGTTCATCCTAATTACCTTGGAAATGTTTACCTTTGATTTGGAGAAGTTCTTCTCAATACCTCGAACCTAAAGCCGACCCTGGTCAGATGTAGCCACGCGAAGTGGTGGCCGAGCAGCATGCCCTGAGAGACGTGAGGCTTGCGTACAACCCACCGTTAACTCGTACGCGAGCTGCAGCCGCTATCACCGGACGCCAAACTCACCATGCCAGTACGTATGGCCAAACCTTGACCTTGCAGTTGGTCTTCGAAGAGGTACACACCCGCGTCCCAGCGCCCTGCTTATGCAGCTCCAGTGAGTGTGCCACCTCTCGGGGGACAGTGCATCAACCATACCATTGATTCATTTTCAACCGTTCAACCAGTTTCTGTACCGAAAATTGTTGGGAACCCTCTTGAACAATGTCTTCTGAACCTTGAACCGAGAGATCCAAGTTCCACTGAACTAATGTATGAATTCTCAAAATCATTTAATTCTCGATTAAGTGAGTTTTGTTGATTACTGCTTAGCCGTGGGAGGGATGTCCCTCAAGACGGAAGAAATTTGAGGTGCTGCATTATCGAGCGGAGTCTCGATGGGAGACTATGTAATAATCATGGGATTGATGTTGGTATAAATGTCTTCCTGAAGCTCTCACCCTGAGGAGTGTGGTTCGCTTCGGGCAGAAGAGAAAGCTTCGGCCTCGCTATATCAAGCTCTTTCAGAATCTCGCACGAGTCAAAGACTTAGCCTACCGGTTAGCTTTATCGCCTGTGTTGTCGGAGTGTATGAATCCGAACACGTAATGGACTTCGTCGAGTTGCATGTCGAGCGAGGTCTTACCTATGAGTAGGTGTAACGCCCCACTTTTATTTACCAAAAATCAAAATAAATTTTTCGAAATTTATTTCAAAAACAATATTTGAGGCGCTACTCTTTTTCAAAACAATAGTCAATACTCATAATCAATAATAAAATTCCAATAATGCAATAATAATCCAATAATGTTCTAGGGAAATAATCCCTATCAATACTCCAATATTCCAATACTAGAAAACGATAATCAATAATAATGCAGTAATATCAAGTTTAGTTCAAGCGGAAGCATTTAACAGTTTGAAGACCACCACTCGCATCTCTTCCGCCATGCCGCATAAACTAACCTGCATCCATGAAGAGCAGGTGGGGATGAGCACAATAAGAAAGTCGGGGTGCTTACCGCTATGCAATAATTAATCTCAATAATCATGAAAATAATCTAAGTATGGTCGCAGCATGTATACGAATCAATAATCGTCCCATCTCCTATCAATAATCAATAATGGTCTCATGTGCACACCTATAACAATAGACTACTGCCGAGCTATATACCGAACGCCTTCCTCGAAGGCCTTACAACGAATGCCAGGGCAGCAGGAACAATAATCCACCCCGAATGCCAAAACTTTCGCCTTGGCCTTACATACGAGGATCACCAGCCAAGGCTCACGCCATGTCTGTCAACAATAATAAAAGAGACTACCCGAAGGTACGTTCTATAGCTACGGGGATAACCGTTCGACGGCCAATATAGCTCACATCGAAGGCTACATGGTTCACATGCATACATTGATCATACTAAAACAAAAACAATTAATTAAGGCATAGTAAATTTTACAATTACGACCCACCTGGAAATTTCGGTAGAAAATGGCACACAAAAGCAAGCACGTAGGATGAGGCTCGACTCCTCAAACACCTACATTAAAGCGAGATAATTTATCAATAATTTATCTCACTACTCAATTTAACATAAAACCCATACTTAATAAAAATTAAGTCTTAAGGGTTTTAATCGGATTTTTCGTAGACACGGAACTCTCTCATTTTGAAAAAATATGACTCGAAGAAGTAAAATGGGGTCTCGGAACTTAAAATAATTTTTCCAAAATTTTTCTCATTTTAAAAATAATTTTAAAAATAAGTTTGGGTCGAAAAACGGGCTCCGGAACACAAAATTTGGCTTAAAAACGAACTGGGCCCAAGCTGTCCAAGCACTGGCCACAAGCTGCCAGTCTTTGGGCCTCGCGCGCACAGTAATGGGCCGCGGATAGAGGCATGTTGGGCCGAAATCAAAGCCTGATCAGGCTTTAGGACGCGGGCTGGGATTGGCCGGACGCGGGCCAAGCGCGGGCTGGGCAGCCCGCGCTGCTGGGCTGGGAGGAGGAGAAATTTTTAAAAAAAATAGCTATGCAAAGGCAAGGTTCGAACCCTTGACATCGTGCGAAAAGATGGGCACAGTCACCGCTGCGCCACACGTCCGATTTGCGAAATAAACTGAAATCTCAGAATACTTAAAATAAATCTAAAACCTGGGATCTGCACAAAACAAGACAGACAGATACCTTCGAACAGAGATGCAACAAAAGGGTCGAATTTCAACAGAAATTTCACAGAGGAGGTTCGGACATTTGTAACAATAGCAAGCATATATTTTCCAGAGTTCCCGAAACGTTTTTAAAACAAGTTTTTGAATCAAAAATCGAACCAACAATAATATGGCTTGAAAACAATAAACGACACAACCACGTCGACAAGGTTCGAAACAATAAAACGAGACTCTGAATTATCATCTACCAATCGAAGACACAGCAACACATCCGGATTTGAATTACACAATAAACGAGAGTTCCGAAAATCCACGACAATAACACGAAACATAATCCGAACAAAATGATATACGAGCTAATAAAATCAAACGAAAATCGATTCAATTGGTACGAATATAACCCAACGAGCAGACATGATAACGATTACATCGAGAAGGTTCGCCGAATACCTTTCTTCGGGAAATCTGGTTGGGAACGGACGGACGACGGGCACGAACGAATGAATTGTCCAACACCTTTAAAAACCAAAACCGGAGTCTATAAAACTCATCTATATTTGGCAATAAAAGAGAGGTAAAGGTCCCAGCCGATGTACCTTTCTCGAGAACTAAACTAAAAGAAGGGCTGGGCTCAGGGGCTCTCGGAGATGGCTCGGTTTGCGGCTGATAAAGGGGCTCGACAGGGGTCGATGCCGGGATAAGGACCTTCAATCCGCGAACAGAGGAAGAAGGGTGACGGTGGAGTTGCGCGGAGGTGGTCTCGCCGGAGTTAATGGAGGATGGGGCTGGTTGTGGAGGATGGGGCTGGTTGCAGGTCCGATGGTTACCGAGGGAGATGAGAAATTTGGGAACACTGCACGGTTTAAGAAGAAGAGAGGGATAAGGTGAGAATGGTCAGATTGAGGGGGGTGAGGAGACGATTATCAGGTGATCGTGCCATGAGAATCTCCCACAAGATCGGTACCTGAAATTGAGCGGACGACTTGGTCTATGCGAAGAAGGAGAAGGAACATATTTCTGCTCAAACCTGATCGCATATGGTATCAGGCTTAAATGTCCCAACTTGGGCCAAAAAAAAAA